GACTTTAAGGCAAAAAAAAAAAAAAGGCTTTAAGAGATAAAAGGGACACTTTGTAATGTTTATTTCACCAGGAAGAGCGAAGGTTCAATAATAATGTGGCCTCACGCTGATTATAAATCAAGTATCTACACAAAAGTATACCTGCTGCATATTCCATCTAGATAAGGCTCTGAACCAGACTATTGACAAATTCTCACAGAAGCAATAAAACTACTAGGGAAGGAAGAAAGGACAGAGGGAGGGAGGGAGGGAAGGAAGAAGGGAGATTGTTATAAAGACCAGAATGATTATGTCTCAGGGACGAAGGGGGAATGTGAACTTGGAGGGGCACTCAGGTAATAAGAAAGAAGTTTAAAAGACAGCATTTGTAATAACTACTAAAACAAGATTTTACAGAGAATTATGTATCTTTATAGAAAGATATACATAAGACCTAAATAAGTGGAAAAATAGGGATAGGAAGACTCAATTTTATGACGGTATCAGTCCCACCCAAATTAGCATATAGTCACTGTAATGTAAATCAAAACCCAAATATGTATTTTTGCGCAGCTTGACAAGTCAATTTGGTAATTTTTACAAAATAAAGAAGAGAAGAATAGCATACAAGCCAAGGTTTAGAGAAGCAGAACCCGGATAAATAAAAATAAATAAAATTAGAAAAAATAAATAGTATATATATTTTATATAAAGAGCAAGAGAGACCGAGACACAGAGAGACAGCAAGAGACAGATTTATCATAAGGAACTGGCTTACGTGATTGTTGGAACTGGCTAAGCAAATTCAAAATCCGTAAAGGAGGCCGTCAGAAGCACGACGGAAATAAGCACGACGGAAATAAGCACGACGGAACTCCACCGGAAGCGGCCAAAGCCGTCATCCACAGGTGGAATTCCTTCTCTCTCCTGGGGAACCTTACGTCCTACGTCCTACGTCCTACGTCCTACGTCTTACGTCCTACGTCCCTCCAACAGATTCAATGAGGCCCACCCAGGTAATCCAGGATAATCTTCTTAAAGTCAACTGATTAAGGCCTTGAATGACATGGGCAACATTACCTCACAGCAACAGACCGCTTCCCTGGGACTAAGCGGGCAGACGAAAAACGCCATCACAAATTGACAAACTCGTCCGCAAAAGAGGCCGACTTGACCTTCAGATACCAAGGCTTATGATAGCGCTGCATTCGTTAGGACTGTGGTGTTAGGCAGCACAGGGTGGTCCCGGGACACGCCGACAGCTAGTAAACAGACTCAGGTGTACAGTGAAGGCTGGAAAATGGTCTAGCTGGCGTTGGAGATCAGTGAGGGAGAGAGGGCTTATTCGGCAAATGTGTTGGGAGAACACATTATCCACACCAAAAACGATGAAAATAGATCCCTATTCATACTCTACACACACACGCACGCGGCCACACATACACAATGGATGGGAAATCGACCTTGGGTTACCTTTTCTCTTCTGTTTCCCTTGAAACCTGATAGAGGTAGAATTTCAGCTGTGTGTCGAAGCAGCAATGCTTATGATAACAAATTACCCCTGATTGAATATATTTGTTCTGGAAGACTGTAAATGAACCATAAATATCTTGTGGGAAGCTTCCCTGGCGCCACATAAGTTCTAACTAGGCATCTTCCTTGCCAGCACCTCAAAGCTATGTCCTAGTTAGAAGGGTTATTGGTTCCTACGGAGCCTGGAGGTTCTAAGCCAGTGTGATCACTGAGATGAGAGTTGCTTTCTTCCACATCCTCGCCAACACTTGCTTATTTTGTTTTTGATTTTAGCCATTCTGACAGGTGTGAGGTGATATCTCATTATGGTTTTGATTTGCATTTTCCTTATGATGACTGATGAGGATCTTTTCATGTGTCTGTTGGTCATTTGTATGTCTTCTTTGGAAAAATGTCTATTCGGATCCTCTGCCCATTTTTTAATTGGATTATTTGTGGGGTTTTTGGTGTTTAGTTGTGTAAGTTCTAAATTTTGGATATTAACACCTCATAGGATATATTACTTGCTAATATCTTCTCCCGTTCAATAGGTTGCCTTTTTGTTTTGTTGATGGTTTCCTTTGTTGTACAACAGCTTTTTAATTTATTTGACATAGTCCCAATAGTTTATTTTTGCTTTTGTTTCCCCTGCCTCAGGAGACATATCTTTAAAAAAAAATGTTGCTATAGCCGATGTCAGAGAAATTACTGCCTGTTTTCTCTTATAGGAGGTTTATGATTTCAGGTCTCACATTTAGGTCTTTAATCCATTTTGAGTTTATTTTTGAGAGACAGAGAAGGGGGGATGGTAGAGGGAAAGGGAGGGAACCTCAAGCAGACTCTCTGCTGAGCACAGAGCCCAACTTGGGGCTCGATCTCTCACGACCCTGAGATCATGAGCTGAGCTGAAATCAAGAGTCGGATGCTTAACTGAATGAGACACCCAGGTACCTCATTTTGAGTTTATTTTTGTGTATGGCGTGAGAAAGTGGTCTAGTTTCATTCTTTTGCATGTGACTGTCCAGTTTTCCCAACACCATTTATTGAAGAGACTGTCTTTTCCCCATTGTACATTCTTGCCTCCTTTGTCATGGATGAATGGACCATCTAAGGATAGGTTTATTCCTGAGCTCTCTGTTTGTTCCGTTGATCTCTGCATCTATTTATGTGTGTGGGGGGGGTGGCAGTTCTTGTTTAATTTCTATTATTATTCTTTTGAATATACACACATATAAACTCTGTGTATTATATATCAACATACAAATAATTTTCGATGTAAAGAGTTTGCCTTATAAAGGGTGGATATTGGCCGGTGCCAGCAGCAACGTCCTGGAGAGAGGAGAGTCCTCTCACTCTCACTACATTCTCAGAGGCCAGGGGGTGGGAGCGGCCACACTCAGGGTACAAGTGAGTAGCCCCTTCCTCTAAAATCAAGACCTTGGGAGCACCTGGGTGGCTCAGTCGGTTGGGCGTCTGCCTCCGGCTTGGGTCATGATCCCAGGGTCCTGGGATCGAGGCCCGCGTCGGGCTCCCTGCTCAGCTCATGCTCTCTTCTATCTCTGTCTGTCTCTCTCTCAAATAAATAAATAAAATCTTCCAAAAATAAAAAGTAAAATAAAATCAAGACCTCGGTCCCTGAAACCAAGGCTTGCCTGTTTCAAATTCCACAGCAACAGGAGTATTTGTGCCACACATACCTGGTTGTGAAAGAAAGCTATTCTGCAAATGATCTGGGGCAAAATGAAGGTGACACCACAGCCACCACCGTCCCTGTCACTCCCCACACCTGGGGAGCCTGCCGACCTCAGCTGGACTATTTCAGGTGCTGGTTTTCTTGCCCTTGGCTCCTTCTACCAGCCCAGCTCAAGCAAACTCTGAAGATATTTTATCCTCTGTGGCATTTTGGCTTAACAAGAATTTCAAATTAAGATACCTCCCTAAGGAGAACAGGAAATTTAGAGCCAACCTTTTCAGCAGGTTTCAGTCTTAAGTAGAATGTCTTCTGTATTTCCACAGGATTCCCCCAATTGAATAGGTGCCAGTGATTCTATTTGTTTTCCTATCTAAAGGGCTGCAGAGCAGAAGTGGAAAAAAACACAGATTCTGAGTCCCAGAGACAGCTGAACTGTGAGAGGTACTTTTATGAAATATTATTTCAGTGTGTGGCGATGTAGTTAATGGCAGAATAAGCTCAGTCCTGAAAGTCCTTTTGTGATATTTCTTCGCTTTTAGCAAATACACCCTCATTCCCCATTTCCAAAGCATATCATTTCACCTCTCAATTTTCTTTCCTTTAATTTTGGCAAAAATCACTAGAAATAATAACTACTGCACCATCTTTACGAGTTAAAAATACAGGTGGGAAAATCAATTGATTTATTAAACAAGCCTGATATGGGGAGAACATAGGAACCAAACAGTTTTCCACCCCCCCCCATTTCTCCCTGTGATTTTCCTCGTCACTCACAGCTAATGCAAACATCCTCAGTCCAGAAATTGGAAACACCAGGCCCCCATCAGAGCCCAGATGAGCACGAGATGTGAAGTTGTGCCTCCCCACCTTTCTCCAGCGAGGCCTGGCCCTGGGCAGGAGGCCAGCCCGCAGAAGAAAGGGCAGGTCAGCAGCCCTCTTCCTGCTCCCCTAACCCATCTCCTCCTTGTCTCCTCAGCTGTGCTGGAGTGCCCCCCACAAGAGGAGGTGGGCGATGTGAGAGGGAGGGAATGTTCTCCCCGCACTGGTGCTATATTGTAAGCTGGCTTCATGCATTTGGGGCTGGTGATAGGTTGACACTGTTTTTGTCACTGGTGCTCTTGAGCATGTTTTGGCAATCTACCCCATCAGTGTGGACCTTCCCAGAAATTCTCTGGGCCTGGGCATATGCATCTCTACCTGGCTGGCTGCTTGAAGCCCCTAGGACTCAGGTGCCATCTTCAGCTTCTCTGAGCTGAGCTGGAAGGCTCTTCCAGGTGGTCTGAGACAGGACCTGAGGTGGGCCCACGCTGCGTCTGCCTCTTGCTTACACTTGGATCTCATCCACGAGAAAAGTCAGGATAAACTCTAGAAGGTCGGGTCCATCTGGAGCCCAGAGCATCTCCTTCATCAGCCGCTCAGCTGGTCTCTGGGCCGTTGGCTTTCTCAGGAGAGTGTGTCTCTTCAGTTGGCAATGACCCTGTGACTCTAAGTGGCACGTGTCTAGCTCTCCGGAACGGTATTGTTCAAGCCCTTCTTGCAGGCCTTGAAGACAGGGCAAGCACCCTTGGCCCTCCTCCTTGGGGGGTGCTGGTGGGAGAAGGGGGGCATTCACAGCACACTCGCAACTCCTCTTTCATGCAAGTCCCCACTCTCTGCTCTTCCAGCACTTTCCCCCGTTGGTGTGGGAACGAGGTTTGGAATTCATCATCCAGCTCCAAGCACTACCTTTTCACAGGTTCTCCAGAGGAGGATGCTCTCCTTCCCAGCTCACTTCCATGCTAATTGTCTTGGGCTCTCAGGCAAAGGTTTCACTTACCGTCCTGTGTCAGCAGGTGAAGGAAGAACAAGGAAACTAGCCAGGTGTTCTGGGTAAACTGGGACAATACAGGAACAGAAATGACAGAGTAAGAGAATCCAAGCAGGACGTGGTCTGGGCCGTGGTGTTTCAAGGAAGAGCGTTGCAGGTGTCCGTGCAAAACTGAGTCAATACGTAGGAAGGATTTTAGCTGTAGACACGGGGGAAGGAGTAGGTTGATTCAAAGGGCTAGGATTTCACAACAGGTGGAACATGAAAATGCGTAAGTAAAATACAAATAAATCTGGAGCAAAATACTCAGTTTGTGGCCTTCCTTTGATTATTTCTCAATGAAGTGGTGGTCTGTTCTGCTTCCTGGTTTTATAAATGTTATCTGTTTCATAGGTAAAGTGATCAGGTTAGTTGTTGGTAGTGACCGAAGAGGAGAGTTAGTCAAGCGGGCACAGAGCTCTGCTGTCCTAGATCCTGAGAAATGGAAACAAGGATATATGGTCTGTGCACAGGCAGTTCATTGCTTAGTTGGGGGAGCCTGCCAGAGGCCAGCCCTGGGCCTAAGCTGTGATAGGTGATTGCCCCGCACCAGCGGGACTGTGACAGAGAGGTCACTCCGCCAGAGGGGGCTGCACCCACAGCGACTTCTCAGAGGCTGAGAGGTGGGCAGGGCACAGCTGCCTCGGCATCTGATACGGTGGCTTCAGCCCTACAGATGCTCCTGGATCTTGCACATAAGGATGCTCTAGGGCAGGCGTCAGCAGACTACAGTCTGGGGGCCCAAGTAAAATTGTACCAAATCATTACCAACTCTCATTCCCAATCCTTACAAGAACGCTGGGTCATAAGCACTGTCACGTTCGCAACGCAGATGCAGAATGGAGACTCAGAGTCTGGAGGTAGTCGAGGAAATTCTTCAGGTCTCACAGTAATTGTCACCCCTAGTCAATAAAACCTTCTCGAGATCCTCCCAGAACACCGTCGATGTCTCCTTTGCAGTGTTTCTGCAATTACATTCTTTCTAACAATGTGATGCCTGGGTTCCATGAGGGCAGGAGTCCTGCATGGTCGCCATCATCCACAATGTGTGGCAATGCCCAGCACGCAACAGGAAGTCAGTAAACAGCAGCTGACTGGTTGGCAAACCCCGGCTGTGTCGTGAGGAGCTAAGCCCCAGTTTGAACCCACGTCAGACTTCTGCCTGCTGGCCAGACCGCCTCACCTGGTGGATCGCTGCAGCTTCACTAGCACTTTTTCTCCTCCTCTTGTAGCCAATACATCCCCTCACACTGAGACCTTCTCAAGCTCTCTCTACACACCCCCATCCTTCTTCCTTGCTTCTGTAGCCTTTTCTTCATATACTGCTTCATCTCCCCTTACTAATAGCCTGAAGTCAGTTATAGGTCATGGGATTAGCACAAGAGAAGGAAGGAAGGAAGGAAGGAAGGAAGGAAGGAAGGAAGGAAGGAAGGAAGGAAGGAAGGAAGGGGCAAAATAAAAAAACCAAACCGTTTATAGACTGTTGCTTAATTTTGAGAGATGTATTCCCAAAGATTCATATACTTCACAACTCACATAATTCCAGTTTAGTTTTTCCATAGAAATCAATTTAAATTAGGGAGACGTGTTCCCAGAAAGTGTACACATACAAGCATTGTAAACTCAGGGCCTCCCTAGGGTGGGATTCATATTTCAGCCATGTCTCCAACATTTTTCCATTATACTTTCTGGTTATAAAGATTTCTTTTTTTTTTGCTACTTTGAAAGTGGACCTATTTTACTGCTGCCTTCTATTTTCTAAGCATCAGTGCTAATATTTTGCAGAGAATTTTCTCCTCAATTACAATGGCAGTTGTTGGCCTTTTTCACAATGTCTTATTATATAATATCTTCTGTTCTGAATTTTGATTCAGAGGCATATCTTCCAGCATCGGCACATATGCAATAAATGCTTGCATAACATTGCTATAGGATGTTTAAAAAAACATGCTAAAATTTTCTTACAGGGAAAGCCCTTGGAGAAGTACTGATGCTCATAAACAACAGTGTGGTTCACATGATTGTGATGAGGAGAGCAGCTATTTCTGTTTACAAGATAACTTTTGCCATGAAATGAAAATAGCACAAATTTAGTCTACAATTACTCTGCTAGCAAGCTTTTTTGGATGAGGCTAAGGCGTGACTAGAATTGTTCCCTTTTTTGTGTGCAGAAAATGAGACTTAATTTCTATATGGTATTGTTTGAAATGCACACAAAATGTAACCATATATATTTGATGAAAATAATAGGGGCCGTGCCTTTTAAAACCTTTTAGCAGAGTAAAAAAACAATCACTGCTTTATTTCTTCTGGTGTATCTCTAGCTGAATGCTGAATGTATACACTGACTTTGTATTTTTTAAGTCAATGATGGAGAAACACAGACTGCAGGAAATCAAGGAAATATGAGATGGTGCAACAATTTGCCATTCTGTAAATTTACTTTTTAAATATTCTCGAAGAAAAAGTAAAAGAACCCAACTTCTCCAGCCCTTTGATTGACTAAACCATTAGTAACAACACGTATCACCAGTGGTTTAGTCCTGATTTAAGAGGTGGAAGATAGGGAAGGCTTTCACTGGATTAGAAATTAGACTATATAACAACCAGAAAGAGGGAAGAAAAAAAATATATATATATATACATTTAAACTATGTACTTCAGGCCCAGAAGACAATTTGGGGCTTTTGGAGTCAGGATGGTGCTTAATAAGTCAATAAATACTAATAAAAAGTGAGTTTAAAAAAATGAGTCCCCAAAAGGAAATTATTTAATATCGTACAAATACTCAGAAAATACCCAGACCATTGAAGCAGACGGCACATCTGTAGTGGGTGCTGCAGCGAGGAGTATAGATGCCCCTTCAGACTGCCCAGCTGTTGAGTGAGTGTCTGCTGATTGCTCACCCCCTGAGTCCCGTCCCCCACTGCACCCTATCCCCGGGAGCTGATTTCCACTGAAGGAAGCTGCCTTGCCCAAGCTTAAGCATCCTTTCCAGAGGCAGCTGCACCTACTTACTGGTTGTGGGGTCCAAAAGCCTACCTCTTGCTTCATTTGGGCTCCCAAACCTTCAGTTGGGTGGGCTGAAGCCTCTGTTGCAACTACATTGCTGTTCAGCTTCTCCCAAGGCCCCGTCCTGCCTCCCTCACTCCCTTAGCAGTGTTGCTGGGGAGAACATTCCCCAGTAAATCTCCTGCAAGCTCCTCTCCAGCTCAATTTCCAGGGGACTCACAGTAGTAAAACAAACACGAGAAGAAAAGTGATTTTTAGTACGTCTTCATGTAGAAATCAGGAAACTACACTTTTCCTATTTCCCATTCCAAGATTGTAGAGACAAGCTTTCAGACAGCAGAAGGCAGAGCAACAAGCAGCCACAAGAATAGAAACAGTGCCAATAACGTCCAGTTTTCAGAAAAGGTGCTAAGCTGAGAGTCTGGAAAGTTAACAGGTGAGTTGATCTCAGCCATAGTTCTGGAACATCCTCCCTTTCTTAGACCAACTCTGTTCTGCCTGATGTGCGGTCAACCTGAGAAGCAGGCAGAAGTCTCCAGCGATTAACTCGGCACAACATATAAATATAACAGAGAAACCTGGTCCAACAGGTTGTCAAGTGGCAGGAAAAATAGAGCTCTCCACTGAGAATGCTTCAGTTTGGGTAGGCTTTTCCCCTGAACCTTTAATAGGGGAGAGAAAACCCCATGTGATTCTTATTCCATGATGGTAGATTATCTTTCTTCCAAAAGTACACTAGGTACTATGAAACACTATATCCACTTCAAAAGTTATTTTTCATAAAAGTCCTCTCAGTTATGCAGATTTCCTTCCTTTTTTGTAATCATCCTCTTTACCTCCCTACATGTCCTACTTCCAAACCCAGTCTCCTCTGGTCACCACGCCTTTCTCACCCAGTCGCGCTCACACCGACTACATCTCACTTTGCCCTCCCTTCCTCCCCTCCCCCCCCACCACACAACTTCCACCAGTACCAGTTGACTATACTATAGATGCTCATCAACCTGTAAGAAGCTTCCTAGAGGCTTTGTTTCCCGTCCGCCATTTTCATTCAATTTGACTTCTCCCTCTGTAGTCCCTGCCACAGCTAATTGGGTCAGGGGAGCCTACCTGGGGGGCCAATCGGGAGGATGGACTGGACCCGAGCAGCTTGTACTTCTGTGTCTCTCAGTCTCTCTACATCACCGCCCCATCTGGGATTTGACCTGAAGAGTTTTGCAAATGCTGGGGCTGAGATTGCCTTTGGAAGTTACCATTGAAAGAATTAAAACAGCCTGGTTCAAGCCCAAGAGCTGCCACCGTGAGCAAGTAAATTATCTGACTTATGCCTCAATTTCCTCATCGTTCAAATATGGATGATACCACCAAGCTCATAGTGTTGTGAGAATTAAAACTGAATGGGACTTGTGTATGTGCTGCACCCTGGACAGTGCCTGACCCATAATAGCAGTCACCAGGCAAAGGAGAGCTGGTATCTCTTCCTCTCACATTGATGATAAAGCTGGATGGTTTCCCTTGAGTGTGGGCTGAGTCTAGTGATTCACTTCTAACAATAGAGTACAGAGAGAGGACGCTGGAAAGAGCACAGCGGAACTTCACAGTGCAGAAGACTGGTTCTGTCTTAGATCCTTGCAGAAAACCCACCTGGCTTTTGACTTGGGTTTTACTCTTAGCTTTGTCCTAAATCTGCTGCAGGTACATGAGTTTTAACCTGATGACCAGTCTTCCCTGACGTTGACCCAGCACAGGTCCCTAGGAATGGAACCTGGGGCCGACATCATTTTCTGTAGGAGCACAGTGTTGAGGTTCCAGAATGGAGATAGATTTTGAAATCTGCAGCATGAAGAGGAAGGATGGGATCCCTTAGGGAAAACACATACAGTAGGAACAGAAAGCTGAAGGCAGAACATTGGGGAATATCAAAAATTCTGGGAACCAAAGAGGGTGGTAAGAGATGTATGAGGAGAAGCAGAGAAGGGTGTCAGGGAAACTCAAAGCATAAGGATTCAAGCCATTAGTGAGCCATGAAATCAATTTACTTGGTTGTAACTAGCACAGAAAAAGAATGGAACTGGAAATATCAGAGTTTCTTGTGCACTCTGTTGGGAAACTTTAGTTTTAGCTGTGTACCTGTATGTGTTTCCTGGGTTGCTATGTAAAAAG